GGACCCCGGGCTGGGCTCTGGGGCCCCTTGCTCCTCATGGGGGGAGAGGAGGAGCTCTGCATACATGCTCTCCCTCCTGATTAAAAAAGTGGCACACGTGGGCGCCAGACCAGCTCGTTCCAAGCATCCACTCCTCCTCTCAGCCTCCATGTGCTTTCTTCTTTCTCTAGTTGTAAGACTTCCATTCAGCCAGCTTTCAGGCAGTTCTGGATGATGGTCTTCTGTATTTTAGTTGTAATTTTGATGTGGTTGTGGGGGGTGGTGAGTACTGGCGTTTACCTACACTGCCATCTTGATTGTTCTGAGAAGCATTGGTTTTGCTTACAGTGGTTGTGATGCCCATTCTCCCCTTAGCCGGGCCTCTGTGGGATAAAGTGGGAGGGGCCCAGGGCTGTCTGACTCCCAATGTCCATGGGGCAGGGGGTCATGACATGGAGGGAAGCTGAGCCTAGGAGGAGCCAGCCTGCCCCTGGGCACCTTGTGCCATTCTGTGCAAGCATCACATGGTGGGGCCCATGGGGGTTGGGGGGTCAGTGAGTGGGGGCCACACAGCTGGCAAGTACAGTCAAAATTTGAACCCAGGTCTCAGTATTAGTCAGCTCAAGCTCTGTAACAAAATACCACAGACCCGTGACCTACACAGGCATTCATTCTCCCGGCTCTGGAGGCTGGAAGTCCGCTTGTCAGCCCCAGGGATTGCACTGCCACGCGTGTGCCGTGAGGAGTGTGTGCCAAGCTCCGGGGCCCTGTGAAGATAGAGGAGGGGCATGAGTGCCGTGTAGCCGACGCTCAGGACAGACACCCAGTCCTTGACTGGGACCTCTGTGCAGACAGCCACCGTCTCCCTCAGCATGGCCTCCGGTGGCGGAGTCCCTGGCCGCCATGCAGGGCCAGCATCCCAGCATGGAGTCCGGGTCACTGAGAGCCTCACTGTGTGACAGGGGAGAGGCGGGCAGCCATGGCCACGGGCTCCTGCTTCCTTCCCTTGTCTACATCAGTGTTTTCCCCTGTGGGTACTGCCCATGCATCATACAGCCCCCCCTACATGCACTGGGGGCTGACTGTGCCGTGTGTCTCCCACAGCTCGAGCCCAAGAGGGGGTCCTCCAAGATCAGGCGGGACAAGGAAAAGCAGAGCTGCAAGGGCTGTGGCGAGACGTTCAACTCCATCACCAAGAGGAGGCACCACTGCAAGCTATGTGGGGCGGTGAGCTGGGCAGTGGGGCCGGGCAGCCATGTTCACG